AAAAGCTTAGAACAATAAATCAATTGATCTGGTGCTCGACACGCTTTCTTCCTCGTCCATGGAAATAGCTGGATCGCGAACCTTCTCATTCATTCGGAAAAAATATACAACCAGATCAGACTGTCTTCTGGCGTACCATTTGACCTCGGATCTGTCTACTGCGACTAGCATCAGAAATCTGGAGACTATTTGAAACATTGTTTTCGCGGAAGAAATTTAAACATGGTGAAGCTCATGAGTTTGGCAGAATTTATTGACGTCATAGAGACTAGTAAGGCTGGTGGTGAACACCGCAGTAGTGCAGTCTGAGGAAGACAAAAGAGATCCCAAAAACTATCACGCTACAGTCTTCCAAACCTTGGAGTCTAATGTTAAGGATACAAGAGTCGACAACGCTAAATGCAAATAACCACTGTATACCCGTCCAAGGACACAACGGCAGACATCTCGTGGTAAATATTGTATGGTATTGCCACAAGCCTCGATGACTGTCTGTCTAATATTTCCTAGATTGCATCCGTAAAGAAGAACTCATCAACAAGGACGGGAGAATAGAAGTGTCTTGCCGTAAGCTAACAGCGTCTTTAAGGCCAAAGAGGAACGTCCGAATGCGTACAAGTTCGGACTGCAATCGGGCCAATCCAAAAGTGTCCTTGAGGAGCTAACAGCTCGACTGGCCTCCTGGCTCATCCGAATGGTTGGGAAGAGTACTAATCCCTTAGGCCGCTTGCGCGTCATCACTATGCACAAGGCCCATGGGTGGATCGATGATGTGATGTGGGAACGAGTCATCAGGAAGGCATACAACGCCTCCTCCTAAAAAAATATCGGTTTTGTTGCCATGACGATAAGCTGGACAAACTGGGCAAGGCTGCTTGGTAGGTATCGTAGAGGTGTGAATCCAAAAGGTGCGTTAAGCTTCCCTGACCTTCCTGCATAAAGACTTAGAGAAACACAAAATCGCCAGCAGAGGTGATTAGCCCTAAAGTGATTGCGAACATTCACAGAACTATGAGGGTGACTCGGTTGGGTAGAGGCCTCCACCCTAACGTTTTGTCCTGTAACGTCATTTGACCTCTTCCGATTCCTATTCACAGCCACGCTGTAAAGAGTGCATACAAATTGTCAAGGATATCAGGCGGAAAAAACGTACCGGGAAGTCAGGCGTGAAGCATATTGCCAACCCTCTTCGTCGCAAGCCGTAGAGCTTATGTCACAGCTGCATTCCACACCCGGACACTCGGCTGGAATCGGTATAGTTCCCTTTGGTTTCAGAATAGTGGTTGGAAGATGCAAAGTGGGATCTGAGCCCGAATTCAAGCTATCAACATGCTCAAGTACAGGTGAGGATGATGAGGAGGAAAAGGAGGGGAGTGATCCTCCATCCAGTCGGATGGGCGCGGAACGTTCGAGGTCACGAGAATTACTGGGCAGCGGCAGGAGGGTAGACACAGCGTGTTCGCTATGACAACTGCAGTCAACCCTCCAGGGGGTTTGCCAGTGGCAAAACGCAGAAGGCAGCTGAACTTCAGTGAGATCACAGGCCTGCAGCCGACGGCCGTCTCTGGACCACATAGCCTGGCAATCTCCAATCGGTCGACTGCAAAATTGCACAAACAAAAACAGCTACTACATTTTGAATAAGTACACCAAAATTATTATAAGAAGGGGGAGATGACACAGCAACAGGACTTACCTGGAACTGAACCCCTTGAGCATACGCCAGGCCTGATACTCATAGATTTCCACCTGCCGACAGTCAGTTTGAAAGTGCTGAAGGTCGAATTCAAATTTTCGGGAGGAGAATGCGGACTTGTCGACAGCCCAGTCGGGCCTGAAGGCCCAGGGAGTTCCGTCATGACCAAGACCCCAGGTGATTTGGCCCACTGGTGTGTGCACAGACTCGATGAGAGCCAAATGGCCAGCGACCTGTTTGAAGAATTAACTGGTTGTGATATCGCAGAGGAGGCAAAATGTTTATGACATGCAGAAACATGAAGAGAAGGAAACAGTGAAAGAATCACTTTTTCATAAAGGCATTCAGAAAACAAATGCAATTCAACGTTTCCTTATGGGTTACTTATTATCCTGTGTCTATGACTCTAATCTCGTATTTTCATCAGTCAGAAAACAAAGTGAAAAAAGGGAAACAGAGTTAACAGCTTCTATAAACACGGCATGATACTCAGTACTATTTATGGTAAAATATCTGACTAGCTAATAGGGTCAGTATACCAACGGCCCTTAAGACAGATGATAGAATGGGCGTGCAGATCACTGAAAAATTAATCATTCTTCGCTTGGATGTGAAATAAAACCAGGGTCAGAAAAAAACCTTCCTTTAAACTTAAAAATGTGGTTCTCTAATGGCGTACTTTGATCAGAAGAACCGATGTTGATGGGGACTTCCGATAAGGGTTTCCCGTCGGGAGGAGTTTCCTATACACTCAAATGAAATCATCTAGCTGTTCAAGGGGACTACATTGACGAATCCAGCGAGCACAGTGTTTAATGCTTCGATTGCAATCTGTTTCTATTCATTGTAGTAAAGTTGGCTATATCTAAAGAATGACGATGGGTCATGTGGGTACATCCGTTGGCGTGTACATTGGCTGCTGTTTTTATTATTACTGGAGGGAAAAATATCGTGTGTAGACGTCAATGAGCCAGCCGTCAAAAAGTCAGATTAACCCGCACCTCATTGTGCAATAGTCTTGTAGAGCACACGTGAAAGCCCACAAGTTTTTCGTAAAAAGTCCGCACTGACTGAACCTGAAGTACGTTGGAAAGATCGTGCGAGAATCGCAGACTCGCCTACGGCGGCACAAATTGGTAAGCCAGAGGTTAATCCCAAATTCGCAGTTTTCAACTCAAGTCGAAAAAATTGTTTTACATTTTACTCTCAGGAAGCGAACATTTTAAGTTGGGACAGTTCAATGGCCGGATGAAGCACACTCAAGAAGTGGTGTTTAGACACAGACCTTACCAATTGGCAAATTGACCTGCTTCCGGCTTATAAAGCTACACGCCATTACGAACACAAGACATTAATTTACGGAAGTCGAAAAGACACTATCTGCCAAAGAACTCATCCGACGACTGAGTACAATGCTCAGCAGTTCGAATAAACAGTTCACAGGGCATTTCAGACCTATTGTCCTTCTTCAGTCAGTACTGAGATGTTGATATTATCTATATTTTCTTGACTTTATGCAACTTTATTCAACGGAGTCGAGGTCAAAGGATATGCATTACGACGGAATAA